GTTGTTGAACTGAGAATGAATCCATGCCACTAGTAAGAACATAAAACTCACCCATTGAGTTGGGCCATCAACTGGAGCACTTAGAGGATCATCATGAACCTGATCATTATTAATTTCAATCAAAGAATCCACGAGTATATGATCAATAATCTAATGAACTTGAGAAAATGTCTAAAAGGATGTTGGTGTCGCCTAAGTGGTATCTTACCTCCATGAAAATTCCATCAACCCCAACTGCTACAGCTGTTCTTGCAATGCAGGGTATTAACTCGCGAAGGCCTCCACTAGCAACACCACCACCTTCCAACTGCATAAGAATGTACTTTTTACGTTCAAAGTATTCGGATGTCTTCTAAATGAAATAGCTGTTTTTCAAAAGGACCATACCTTTTTGCCTGCAGGTTGTTGTAGTGCATGGGTTATATCAGCAACCTGTCACCAATAATTAAAACGAGTATGTTAATTTATAGATTGACAAACGTACAACAATATAAAGCAGAATACACAATGTGAAAAAGAAGAGATGAAGCAAGATTTACATACAACAGGACAATTAGCTTCCCTCATCCATTCAAAGTTTCGTGGATCTACTATCAAATCATCTGATAATCAAAACCAAGCAGAGTATTAGTCAGACAACTGCAAAGACCGAACAAATAATTGTTTTCAGCACCCTTTGATGTATACTCCAGCAATCCATTTTTCATTAAGTCCCAAAATATTTGCATGAGATTTGAGAATGTCTACTTGTTAATCTACACTAAAATTCCATGGACACAAAGAACATCCTAACGCCTGTTACCGGCATTCAATATCTGAAAAGGAGATGATAACTTACTGTATCCAAACATGGTTCCTCTTTCACAAACCATCACATTTGGATTCCCAGCCAGTCTGATCTTCTCAGCAGAATTTTCCATAACCTTAGATTTCAACATGTACACAGTCATCAACCAAATCGAAACACATAAGAAGCAAGAACTCACAGAAGGAGCACAAAATTGTCCTTTCTTAATATTGATAATTTTTCCGGTTTGGGCTGCCGCAACCAGAAGATCTGTCTGAAATTATAATTAATAGCTTAAATCATGAACCAGGTTACAGAAATAAATCCAAGATTGAAAGTCTGAAAGCTACAAACAGGAGCCTTTAAGAATATACAATTTAGAGTCTTGCCTGGCGACATAAGAATGCTGGTATCTGAATTATATCTGCAACCTTGCCAACTTCTTCACACTAGAAAATAAAATAAAGCATCAGACGGTACCAAAGACTTGCTGAACTCAATTCTCTGAGGTGAATACGTTTATTTATACCTGGCTCGATTCATGAACATCAGTTACTATTGGTAGGTCATATGCTACTTTCACTTTCTCAAGAATCTGCATTGGAGAACCACAAATGTGACCATCAGCGTCTTGTACAAAAATACCATAAAACTAAAGCAACTTATTGTTCAAGTAAATGGTAGCATCATAGGTGAAAAGCAATGGCAACAATTATATCCTAAGGTCCTAGAAGAACTTAGAAATAGTTTACATGTATATAAGATTCCTTTAAAGTCGAAACTCTGTGAAGATTTTCAAATGCAGAGTCCTAACATCCTAATTATCTATATTCAGACATCACAAGGAAATAAAATGAGTGATCAAAGTAAAGATACCTTGAGACCCTCAGCCATGCCAGGACCTCGAAATGACTTTGAAGAAGTTCTGTTAGCTTTATCAAAACTTGACTTGAAAACCAGAGGCAACCCAAGTCTACACCATTCACACACACACAAAAACCAAAAGCAGCATAAGGAACATGAGATTAGGAACAACATTGTTCAACATGTGAAGAATTCTATCTCTCAAGAAAGTAAATTCTTCGGTCATAAAGAGGACTAAATTCTCCACTGTGATCAATTTGCATAAGTAAATCAATACACATTATTACAATGATCTCTCAAACCAAAAAACCGGAGCTAATGATGCAAAACACACACACAGAAAAGCCTCATTAGTAATATAGCAAGTACAAGGAATCATACTTTGTGGAAATGTCTTTTATGTGCTTTGCCATTCGAAGAATATGTTCCTCAGATTCGATCACATTTGGACCAGCCAACAAGAAGAATGGTTCAGCAGCCTATATAATACACATACTCATCAAACTCAATTTCACCATAAGAAGCGATCATTTCTACATTCCGAAAGCAAATAAAGCGAGATTCAAAACCTTAAGCTGATTGTACAGTGGTGATGTTGCCGCCATTCTTATCGTTCAAGCTCAATTTCTCGAGAATATCCGAATTGCAGAACCCAGAAAATCGTGAAAAGCTATTGATTTCTCCACACGGATCTGCAACGAAGCAAACTTGATCTCGAATCCGTTGCAGAGTGAGTGAAGGGAAAGTGAGATATTGAGCTAGAGAGAGGACGTGTTTGGATACATGGACAGATTAATTCCTATCCAGGATAAGAACGAGTTTATATACTCGTAGAGATTATTAATTTCTCTCGCAGTCCCTCGATTTGCTACGATTCACCTTTCTCCATAAAAAACTATGCAAATTTTCCAATTTCAGTTGAACAGAAATGAATTATTGCGCAAAGGTACAACAATGACTTGAAGGCGTAAACATAATTTTCATTATATTTTCAGACAAGCATTCACAAACCCATGACTATGGTCTCTTATGTTAAAATGCCTTTGATGACATGAGTGGTTTGGGAGGTGACATAGATCTAAGCTCAGGAGCAGAGCTTGGGAACATCACATTCAGTTTATGCATCAATATATCAGCCCCAGACGGGATCTCGTTCAGAAGAAACTGTTGCACGATCGGTTTCTTGAACCATTCCATGACCAAATCGCCCGGTGCTCTCAACACGACTTTGCTAACCTCAAATGGTGACTCAACCGAGCTCAGCATTTGAGCGATTACAATCTTTAGTGTCGGTCCCGTGACTAGCTTTATACGTCTAGGGACTACACCGTAGTAAAGCATTCGCTTTCTGAACCTGTGGAGAGTATGAACCACGGCTATGAGTGCGGCTCCAACCGATAAGTTTCTCACGTCGAGAGACCAAGCAATGTGTTGGTCAAAGACGATGGCTTTTGGGAAGAGTTTGTTCTCGTATGCTACTTTCCAGACACATCGAGCTCGGTTTATCTGACCCATTAAGACAAGGTAGTTGAGAAGGACGTTGACAAAGTATCTAGCAGCTCCTTCTTCGAGTTCGTAATCAATCCCTTGGTAAAACTCTCTGACAAAAGTAAGAACTGGTTGTTTCCTCTGTTCTGGACCTGTGAAGAGACCGCACATAAAGGCGTGAGCTTTGTGCTTGGTAGCACTGAGGATTGACATCAATTGTCTCTCTTTATCTTCGTCTTGGCAACGGACAAGATGGGCGAGAATTGAAGTGTAAAGCACCAAGTCGACTCTTCCAGCCGAATGCACAAGTGTCTCGAGCAAAGGCCTAGCTGAATCGTACAGACCATTTTTCATGCATGATTCGAATAACTGCCTGATGATGAAATTGTTTGTTTTGATCCCTGATGAACCCATGAACCTAAGCCACTTCAAAGCAAGATCAACAGAAGCATCTTTGATATATATCATCAGAACATCGCTAGCGCAGACATCAACGGAATACCCCATTGCCTTCATCTCGAGTAGTATCTTTCCAGCAACATCAACGAGCCTTTTGTTGGCCAGAAGTGTAAGAAGTGAAATATAACTGCTCAGTCCAGGCCTTAACCCAGCATTAGTCATGGAGTTATAGATCTTCATTGCAGAATCTACTTGCCCGGATCCAGCGTGCATCTCTAATAGACACGAATATGTGGAGGGTGTCGGTAAAAACCCAGCTTTCTCCATGTCTTTGAAAACCGACATTGCTACTTCAAGCTTTCCTGATTTTGCATGAGATTCAATGATCATTGTGTACAATCCAAAGTTAGGCCTGAAACCTGACTTCTTCATTTCATCCCAAAGCCTAAGAGCAGTATCCAGCTTGCCGGCTTTAGCATATGAATCAATCAAGGAAACAAACATAGTTGCTGATGGCCTATGGCCAAATCCCTGCATTTCCATGTAAATCTTCATCGATGTGTCCAACCGACCAGCTTTTCCCATTGAATCCACAAGTGAAGAAAACACAGTAAAACTTGGTCGGAGTTTCCTTTCTTTCATCTGTTGAAAAAGCTTGAAAGCTGCATCAAGACGGCCGGATTTGGCCAAGCTTGGAATTATCAGCTCATAAGTTGATCCATCCAACAAAGAATCAGTTTTCTCCATGCTCTCATAAATCTCAAACGCCTTATATGGCAGACCCTTGTTCAGAAACAACATCATTAGATTATTATACGTCTGTGTATCGATTTTAGATCCCGAATCTTGAGCCTTTTTGAAACAACAGAAAGCAACCTCCAATTTCTCAGCTTTTGACAAATACTGAATCACTTGGTTATAGGCACTAAGGGACAAATCACCGTGACTACTCGAATCTTGAACCATCTCCTCAAACAGCGTCTGAATCCCTACAAACTCTCTTCCCTGGTTCAACCCATCAAACAACACAACGTAACATTCATCGGAAGGCAGATACCAAGGCTGCTTCTTAGACCACCTGAACAAACTCAACGCAGCATCAACATCTTTCACAATCTTCAATGACTGCGTTATATGAACCATATTCGGCACAAACTGGAGCTTGTCCAATTGGGTCTCTAACTCCGGTCCCCATTTCCACCTCTGCACAACCTCAACAATCTTTGCAACAGCAGAAGCATTCACGAAAGGCTTCTTTAACCCACCAACCATTACATGATCATCAAGCCCTGGCTCTACTGATCTTATACCTTTACCGCTATGTATAACACTACCCGACTCATCTAAATACTCTACTTCCTCAGTCCAGCCACTAGATTCACTCTTCTCACTACAAAATCTCCTGACAATACTTCGACTTTGTTCATCGAATCCAACAAAATTAATGTTTCTCGATACAGAACGATTCGGACTAAAGCCATTTCCGACTGTGAAATAGCTCAATAATCGGATGTTGAAGAAGAAACCACCGGCTAAACTAGTAGGGTTTAATGGAGTGGGATAAAGCAATGGAGTCCCAGAAATGGTACTCCTACTAAGAGTGAAAATGACATTTCTGGGAATTGCTTTCGTGGTTCCTCCACGGATCATCGAAGATGTAGACGATAATTATTGGGTCATATAATTCGAATTGAAATTTGAGGAATCAATCCTAACCTGATCTCCAGAGATCGCGAGATTTCTGTCTTCTCTTCGGCTAAAACCCTAAAACCAGAGATTTTAGAAGCAGGGGTTTTCCCAAAATGAATGAATACCAGCAAGTAGCATGTAACAAAACAAATAATTTCATTACAATTTTTTTTAATCAAAATAACAACTTTCACAGAGAAACTTTTTAAAAACAAATTAATGTTTTTTTCTTAAATTTTATCGAAAATTTGGCCAGAAATTTTTAGTCTTTTCAATTAAAGTTAAATTAAAATATTTTGATCATAGCTATTAAATTTATGCATCTCTAAACATTATCTTTGATTTTCTACTTTCTTTTTGTTTGTGTATATATCAAAGAACCCAAAGTTGGATGTATTTTCTTTACTAATTCCAGTGGAATTTTTATGAAAATTATAAAGCAAAATAGTGAAGAACTCAGTTGTTTTGTAATATATATATTTCCCAAGCCTTTAGGCCATCCTTAACCATGACACTCTTAGAGTGTCTTTAAATAAACAAATATTAAAAACATTATCTCTCTTCCTTTTACTCAATTTTATACCTCCTCTTTCATCTTTTTTTTCAATTTTATATCTTCTCTTTCATCTTTTACTCAACTTTTATTAATTTTATATTTAAACACACCCAAAAACACCCATCAAAATGTCTTCCTATAGACACCCTCTCTCCAAAAAATACCCACTTTCTCCTATTTTTACTCAAATTTTATTAATTTTATATTTCAACACCCCTATTATTTCAACTAAAACCACTATTTTTCTTCTTTTTATTCAAATTTTAATAATTTTATATTTAAAGACACCCACAGTATGTCACCATTAAGGATGCTCTTAGTATACTCAATAGAGAAAGAGCATCTAAGGAGAATGTGTGAAGCTTATGCAAATGGATGTAGTCAAGAAAAAGATAAATCTAAAGAGCTTTGTTTGAGTACAAAGCAAGCAAAAGCTTAGTTATTTTTGCAATGTCAAGCAAGCATATATGCCAATTGGCATACATCTCTGTAATATTCTTGTACTATGTAGAGTTATAACTCGATTAATTATGTTAAAAATAGTTAAATGTGATAACAATTTACACATTTTTATCTAGTAAAGTGACTATTTTGGGACAACAAAAGTGAACGGTTAAAGTGCCAATCTTTATGAGAAAACAGAACAGAACCTTATATCCTTCCACAGGTTGCCTTGCATAATTCTTAGTTTTTTGTGTTTCGTTTTCTACACATGCATATG